GAGCCCAAGGATCCAAGCGACAAAACTTATCATTTCCAGATCGTCGAAGCTCCCGATGCCAAGAACAAGATCGTTATCAAGTCCACAATCGACGGTCTCGACGTTTTCCCAGCGGCCGAAGTGCAGAACGCCGAAAGCCTTGCTCTCAATTTCCCGACTTTCTTAATGCTCAAGGCCAACAACGGCAAGTTTCTATCCGCCTCTTCGGGAGATAAGTCGTTGCGGTGCAACATGGACAGCCGCGAGCTCGAGGGAGCTTTCCAGGCCACGCCACTTGTGGACGGGAACTTTATCTTCCAGAGCGTTACCAGCAAGCTCTTCTGGCGCCGGGACACTGACAACGATGACTGGATCATCGCAGACACAAAGAAAGAAGCCGCTCTCGAGGATCGTTTCTGCCACTTCAACGCATCCAGAGTGAGTAAGAACATGATCACCATCCGCTGCGTCGGATACGACTCGGGCCTCTTTGTCCTTCGTAGCGACAACGAAAACAAGCTCAAGGCCGTCTCCTCGAGCGTCGACAACGCCGCGACACACTTCACCGTCTATGATGGAACCAGCAACAAGCACATCTTCAACGTGAAGTACCTTCTCGGGCTTGCGGAGGTGACCGATATCCGTCCTCTGGTCGTCGGCCAAGGCTCGGTGGTGAACAACGGTGGCCAGAACGCCGACCTCCAGGTTCAAGTCAGCTTCACCGAGTCCGTATCAACGAGCAACCGCTGGATGACGTCCCAGACGGTGGGACTGGAAACCAGCCTGACCGTGAGCGCTGGAATCCCCGAGATCGCCTCCGTAGAAGCCACCGTCACAGTCGGGGTGGAGAAAACCACCGAGACCGAGCTCGGAAAGGAGATGACCAACCTGCTTACATTCCAGTCTGGCTATCTCATCAAAGACGTGCCTCCCGGAGGAGAGGTGAGAAAGTTTTCAAGCCTTGGGGTCATTCAATTTGATTCTTTTACCTTTTCTTTCTTGCTCCAGGCCAAGGTGGCAGTGGAGTGTACCAGGGGAAAATGCAGAGTTCCCTTCACGTACTCCACCAAAGCTACTCGACTCGACGGCATTGACACGAAAGTGGAGGACGAGATCGGTGGTGTTTACGAAGGTGTGTCCATTTTCAACGTCAGGGGCGTGATCAGTGGCTCGGCTCCTTCCAAACCAGCCGCTACTTCCAAACCAGCTACTGGTAGTGGTGGTCTTGTGGGTTCTGTTGTTAGCGGAACGGGAACTGTGGTTAGTGGAGTTACCAAGGGCACTGAGAAAGTCGTGGGTGGTGTTGTTGGTTCCCTGTTTGGCTGATGAGAGTTCCATCGACAATAAAATTATGGTGAGTTTTATGTAAAGCTAAGCTCCATTGGCAGGAAAGGTGGAGTGCCTTTTGTGATGAAGGATTTTTGTCCGAGCAGTTGTTGAGGATCCACAGACGGTACGAATCGAAAATGGCGTCTCGTCACTCATTTTGTCTGTCACTTATTTTGTTTTGCAGGCAATAGGAGTTTGATGTTGTTCTTTCCAGCGAAAAATCGTACCTTTCGCTGGAAGGAGCAAACAGAGACTTGGGAGCAAGAAGAACTCGGAAATATCCAGAGGACAAGACGAAGATAAGCTCGCATTTCCAGCTTCGTTACGCTGTTTCGTATCAAGCTGATTTTAAGTTCGCTGGAGTGAGTGGACTGTTTGTTTTCTTGATCCCAGGTTGGCGATTCGAGAGTGTCGTGGTTGCCTAGGCGAGGCTCAACACAAACGATGATACAGGAGAAGACTACAAAGAACCGGAGAGTTAAGCTTACAAGATCTTTTCTAGCAACTCTAAAGCTCTTCCCGGAATGGGATCCTCCACTCTCGCGAAACACGAGCGACGGGAAGACCGCGGCAATGGAGCCCAAGACACGCCCACGCCGATCCAAATCTTCCGCCGGCTGCTCATCGAGGACGAGGAATCAGGAGCGCTGGATCGACAATGGGACTTTGGGGAATGGAGCGGAGCTCGGTCGCTGCCGCTGGCACTGTGACTTCGTAAGAATCTGGAGCTGCAGCTGGTGCTTAGGAGCTGGGACTGGAGCTCGGGATGTTTGAGCTG